CTCGGTGCAGAAACGATCTCTGCACTGCTGCAGACGCACCGCTCCTGGAACGCACTGCCAGACCGCAACCGTGTGCAATGTGCACGCTTTATTAATCTGTTAAGATGAGCGCGGAAAAAGTACACACCACATTTCCTTTCAGCATTATAATTATTTCACCCGCGCCAGACAGAGACTGAGATGGTGCCGCTGCATTTCATGCCAAACCTCTCACAGCAGCATCATCAGCTTGAAATCGTTTTTTGAGATCGGCCTTTTTAGAGACCGCCGATCAATCATCCCAAAGCGATTATCGGCCGATAGTGATCGGTAGCCGATCAATCGGAGCACCCCTAATTGCAAGCTTTCCGTTGTGAACCGGGCTAAGGCAAGGAGATCGTTTTGAACACTGATTGGTTATGTACTTGCTCAATAATTGATTTTGGATCATTTTTAACCAAATAAAGTTTCGGAATGCAGCTTTAATTGGCTCATGTATTTATTTTCACAAGATAGTGACTGTATTAAGAAATGTAATCAGTTTTCAGCTGTTATATGTCTTCACGGCACATGTTCTTACTCCCCCTGCAGGTGACACGTTCAGCAGTAGTTCAGGCAGCACTCCAATCGGCAGTATGGACTCCCTCTCCTCCCACTCCTCAGAGCAGAACAGCTCCTCCAAAACCTGCTCCTCTCCACAGCCCAAAGACAAGCCCCCCTTCCCCGGCCTGCGACATACCCCTTCCTCCCTGTCCTCCAGCGAGCCGCAGGGCCCCACCTGCACCAGCAGTCCAGACTCCAGCTCCAGAGAGGACACGGGCCGTGTGGATTGGGAGGACTCCTGTAGGGTGAACTCAGCCTCAGCAGCTGCCAGGTCTTCACCAGCACCCACAAAGGCTCCTCACTCTGAAGTAGGAATCAAATCAGCACAACTTAACCGCTCGAACGCCCCATCTCTAAGATCTTTACACATCACAGAAGGTAGGGGCCAAAAACATACGTTACTGGTTAAAAGTTTTGAATAATTAAGATTTTTTTTAAGAGAAGACTCTTTTGTTCATCAAGGCTACATTTATTTAATCAAAAATACAGTAAAAGTGGTAATATTGTGAAATATTATTACTATTTTGAATAACTGTTTTCTGTTGTAATATGATTTAAAATGTAATTTATTTCTGTGATGGCAAAGCTGAATTTACTCCAGTCTTCAGTGTCACATGATCCTTCAGAAATCATTCTAATATGCTGATTTGCTGCTCATATATTATCATATATTATTGGTGCTCAATTATTAATCATGGTTCATATTAATATCAATGATAAAAACAGTTTTTGCTGCCTAATATTTTGTAGAAACCATGATACAGTTTTTCAGGATTCTTTGATGAATAGAACGTTCAAAAGAACAGCATTTATTTGAAACAGAAATGTTTTGTAGCAATATAATTAAGCAACAAAAACCGTTTTCAACTTTGATAATAATATTAATTAAGCACCAAATCAGCATATTAGAATAATTTCACTGAAGACTGGAGTAATGATGCTGAAAATCCAGCTTTGCCATCACAGGAATAAATTACATTTTTAAATGTATTAAAATAGAAAGCTGTTTTTTTTTTATATCATAATAAGATTTCGCAATATTACTTTTATTATATTATAATGTATTTTGTGATCAAATAAATTCAGCCTTGCTGAGCATAAGAGACTTCTTAAATATATATATATATATATATATATATATGTGTGTATGTGTATGTGTATGTGTGTATATATATAATCTGAATTATTCCCAATTTTGACCAGTAGTTTTTTTTTCTTTAAAAAACTGTATTCAAATTTCTTTTCTCTATTATTTTATTTTATTTTTATTTATTTATTTATTTTACTTGGTTTAAAACCCCTAATCTACACAAAAGAAGCTAATTTACTTATTTTGTTCTTTTGTGTTTTTCTGGAGGTCGTAAGAGCTGTATGGTGTCTGTGCACAATCTAGCATGTGTGGAGCATAAAGACGGTACCAGATCCACCGCCTACCACGATCTGCCACCTAAAACGGTCCTGCGCCGAAAGCTGGACAACAGCAGCTCTACCAACGGCTATCAGAGACCAGGATCAGTGTAAGTGAAACTCTCTATCAGTAACCAACCCACTGATGCTGAAGCTGACATTTGATGAAAACCAAGCTCTGTCTGTTCCTCTAGCACTCATTCTCAGATGAGAAGTCATCCAGTTTTCTTAGATGTTAGAAAAAAACTTGATATGTTGGGGGACCATGTCTACCCTGTGAGCCAATCAAAAGTTTATGGTTCAATGACAGATCCCAGTCGACATTTGAAGATGATGATGAAAAAAAATTTCATTTTAAAACACGTCAAGTTCTTAGAAATGTAATCATTTGCATTATTGTTAAACGTGCTATATGTAAGCCCATTTCTGCCACTGAATAAAAAATTGTAAAAAGTATTGTGATTTTTTTAATCTCGCAATTCTGACTTTTTTTCCTCAGAATTGTGCAGTATAAACTCACAATTGTGAGTTATAAAGGCCAATTCTGAGGGAACAAAAAGACTATTTTCTTACAATTGCGAGTTTGTATTTCAAAATTCTGAGTTTATAATTCACAATTGCATGTTATAAATTTAGAATTGCGGAAAAAAAACTTGCAAGAAACTTGCAATTCTGAGAAAAAGTTACAATTGTAAGTATATTTCTCAGAATTCTGAGTTTAGAATTCAAAATGACCCGTTATAAAATCAGAATTGCAAGGGGGGAAAACTTGCGAGATAAGAACTTGCAATTCTGAGAAAGTCACTATTGCGAGTTTATCTCACAATACATTAACATTAACAATGAGCAGTAAATTTTTTTACAGTATTTATTCATCTTTGTTATTGTTATCTAATAAAAAATACAACTGTTTATTGTTAGTCCATGTTAGCTCAGCTCTATTAAATAATATTAACAGATACAACTTTAGATTTTAATGATTTTTCACTTTAATAATTTAGCATTTTGCATTGTTAGTTATCCAAGGTTAACAAATGGAACCTAAAGTGTTAACCAGAATGGCTTTCTGATTACAATACAATAAACCTTTGAGGAAATTTATTTGGCAGGCAAAAGTTAAAAAAAAATAATAATAAAATACACTACTATTACTATTACTTCTATTACTAAATATACTACTATTAATATTACTACTATTAAAATATAGTTATACATATAGTATACTAGTTATAATTTAAAACCAAATAGCATTGATAGATTATGGCATGCTATGTAAGGTAGTGTGCCACCGTAAGAATTCTATTTAATTTATTTATTTTTATTTTATTTCGATCTCAGTGCAATTGATTTATTGTTCAGAAATAATAGAATTGATAATGTAAGATGTACATTTAATTTATTGTCCGCTTTTATTTGTGTCTGTCAGGTTTTTAGAAAAACACTACATCATGAGGAATGTAAAAAACATTATTCAGTGTACATAGTGAGGAAACATTGTGCAGTATTTTATAGTGCAGTTGCTGGCTTGGAGAGGAAGCTGCTGAATGGAGATTGATGGCAATTGTTCTTTGTTGGCACGAGTTTTAATTACACAGCTGAAAGGGTTGATGTGACCTAGCACTAGATTTGAAACTCTCCAGGGAAGGATATATAATTTGACTGTCATGACAGAGAAGAAAAGGAACATCACAACTCACTTAAGAGGACTTGATTTAAAAACCCTCTTATTTGCTTATGAGCTGTATAGCTTCAAGTGTTAGCAACATGTTGATTTGAAAAATGTTTGGCCTGTGAATATGTACGTTACTTTAATACATCTGTATACAATGCTACGTGTCAATATATTGTTACATTCCAAATTAGATTTCTAGGGGCAAAAGCGAAGTAACGTTTTAAAGGAAAGATTTGAACCGTTCTCAGTCCAAGCACTCAGTACACAAAGTAAGATGCCAGTAAATGTATTTACAATAAACAAATGACATATATACAGTGTAAAAAGATCTAAGCAAACAATTTCACCGTAAGAGAAGCATCTCTTCAGGAGTGGGTAAAGCCAAAATAACAAACAAAAGATTACTATCTTTAAGAAGGAAATCTAGCTTACCTCTAAGGATAAAAATAAATACAAATAAACAACAGAATTCTTACTTGACTTCCTAACTAGCAAAAACAGGAGAAAATGAGGACAAAAGAAAAGGGCACCCAACTCCCTACTGCTCCAGCACTCAAAAAAAAGGCAAATGACTCAAAGCTGTGCACTACAGCCAAATTAGGGTTAGGGTTAGTTCACCCAAAAATTAAAATTAGGCTGCGTTTTACTCACCCTCGAGGCATCCTAGGTGTATATGACTTTCTTCTTTCAGACTAATCCTGTCGGAGTTATATTAAAAATTGTCCTGGCTGTTCCAAGCTCTATCATTGCAGTCAGCGGGTGTTGCAGTTGAACAGTCCACAAGTCGTCAAATAAAGTGCGCACATCCATAATAAAACATGCCTCACACAGCTCCGGGGGGGGGGGGTGT